CACTGACGTTCGGAAACTTAACGGTACTTTTAGGAAAAGTGCCCGCACATGTAAGCGCAGATAATGCAAAGTTCAGAAAATGCAGATAATGAGATTTTATTTGCTTTAACCAGTCCCGCTATTAGGCATATTGCCTCAGTTTCGGAATCAATGTAATGCATGACATTTGAAAAAAAAATTCAATTTGCAGATCTTCGAACATTAATCCCATCTCTTTTGATCCTAAAAAGACTTAACGCTAGTTCTTTGGCCACAAAGACTCCAACTCTCGTCCTCTGCGCGGTGTAGCTCGCACACGACCGAATGTAGGACAGCATATTCGCATCATCTGCAATAAATTTTATTTCACTTTTCCCCAAAAGAAGCAATTACCGGTGTCATGTTCGGTAACTGCAAGCGTCTCGCGTCTCCTTCCTCTCGCTGTTCTTGTCACTCATTGAGGTTCGACATGGATGATGGCCATGACCTTAGACAGAGTTGTCATTTTGCGTTTCACCATACGCAATTTTGTCCCCCAAACATATCAATCGATTTTGTTGTCCGTTTGGAGGATTGAAGAGATTACCGTTTAGTCTCAGAGTACCTGAGGTAATTAGATCAAGGGGCACCGTTGGAAGACGCTAACACTAAAAGCGTATAAAGTTCAATACTACTGGAAAAATAAAAACCAGTTTAAAAAAAAAAAAAAAAAAAACTTTTATCGAAAAGTTCCAAACGTTGCAAATTCATGAACTTAAAAAGCAAATGGTCGTAGAGATACGTTAATCTCTGTCTAATGAGCGACCGTGTAGAGTAGGATTTCGTTGACTACATTCAGATGCATTTATTTCTTGATCACAGTGTTACAAAATTTCCGCCTTAATTCTCACTTTTATAAACAACAATGGAACAACGCAATACCTTCTATGCGGAGTACAAAATTCACAGATGTCCGCACACATCCTTGATCAATTATCTTAAAAGGGGAATTTGCGCTCGAGCTTTGAAAAAACAGTATCTTTACACGCCTAAAAGATTCCGCTAATATTTTTTTTTGTTAATTGTTTTTTTTTTAAAAAAAAGGATCAACCAACCATTAATTAACATTTTTACAAAATTATCTTTAGAAGGAGGAGAAACTTTATACGAAACTGCTTATTTCTTTAATTTTAGAACGCATTTGCCGTGGATAAGCCTACATAAATAAATTCTTTTATAATTATATATCCGTGTGAGGCGTGATCTCTCTTTACCGAATTCGGCCCTTGATTAATTTTCAATTTAATATACAAAGTATGACGACTGAGCATTTCAATCTTTTCATGTGCCAGGCACTAAAATCTGGTCATCGATTAGTCTTTCAGACCTAGTTTCAATAATTGTTAAATTAGCGACTACGCTCTGGTCGAAAAATTTACGATATTTTATCGATATTGCAACACGGATGCGTTTTAAAGCGCCGAGAAAAGGCAGGCGTGATTTGCATAGTTAATGCGTGAAACGAAATTTCTCAAATTGAACTTTTTTTCTTGTTTTAAAATTAACCCTTTTACAATAATCTTACAATAACCATGAGCGGTGGGAACACTCCGTTTCAGTAAGTGAATACCTGTGTTTCCATTGATTGACACCGCAGTCTGTTGGCAAGCTTGCATTTGGATAAACTTTGTCACTTGAGTGCAGACTTTTAATTCTCGGAATTATACTTTAAGCGAAGTAATATTCACCGAGAGAAAAACCAGTTTCATCTGTTTGGGTATTATTGAGATCGTAAATTGTAAGTAGATGACCAAAGTACAAAACCACGTATCTCCGTTGAAATTTCCGCTCCTATTTTAATTTTTTGAAGAGAAACTTCAGATATATAGCTTGAGATTTATGGAGAATATTCTGTTAAAAGAGATGAAAAATCAGAAAAGTTTTCAAAAGATTCCGTTGACTAGTTATCCAAAGAAAAAATAAAGTGCGACATGGTAGTGTGTTTCATCGCAAAGGGACATACGTGATTTCGCACTTTGGCCATCGAAATGTCAAAAGTTAACCCTGAAGGGCGAGAAATTTGAGTTTTCTGAGTGTCCAAATCGAGGGGCCAGTCGTAAATCCCAATAATTTTTTAACGCTCATATAATACGTGCAAGATTTCCTATTTAAAATTGATTATTTTGATGGGCCGCACTGACATCAGGCTAAAAAACATCGCAATCGGTTCACTGGCATCGATGTTCGCATACATCCAACTCGATAACCAACACTCTATGAGAACGCCAAATAACATGTACACAACTACATGCGTGAACGGAAGATCTAGCATGAATAATTGTCCAGCCGTGAATAGTTAAATAGTCGAGTGTTTGTCGAGGGCCGCCTTTCCAGTGGCGTGGCGTGCTTTGCGATATATCGATCGATCTACCATTTAAACCCAGTGAAAATGATCGATGAACAGGGTGCTCGCAACGAACACTTAAATAATCGGTTCTTTACCATTGCTGAAACGGGGAAATATCGATTATCGATCATTAACGCCGCCTTTCTGAACCGCACTCCTCCTCCCTCAATTTTTTCTAGCGCCGATGCCGCGGAGTGTGCTGCCGTGTTAAGGAAAAACGCCGTATGAGCATCCGAGAGTTGCCAGATTTCTACTCTTGAAACATAAATTTTTGAGGCGAAGAATGAATATTTCTATACCTGGAATTCTTTAATGCTTTAGATCACATTGCGAAGAAAATTCCTTGAAAAATTGGACGGAAAATTGTCACAAGATTCCCCGAAAATTCGCACTTTACGGAAAGAAATTTGGCAACGTACGAAGGTTCATACGGCGTTCTTGCTCAGCACGGCGGTGTGGACCTGCGGTGAACTTAGCTTTCACTTCTCGTGGCTCTTGCTCATCAAAACCTCTCTAAGCGATAACGTTTTACGACTTTACCACCTTCAAGACCCTCGCACGACCGCCACTTTGACACTGATTTCCAGGGAACCAGAAGAGAAAATTTTCAAATTCTTCTTCGTTGACTCATTGCGCTCACGAGGGAAATGTCCGAGATGAATATATTTGAGGGGCTTAGGCGCATAAGTGGACCGCGTTTAACAGAAAGGAACCAAGCCGCATCACCTGATGCCAAATTTAACTGGGCAATTTAATTTTTCACAAGAGAACGTTTGTGTGGATTCCTTTGAAAATTTTAAGGAATTTGCTTCGCACTATGGAGAAAATCCACTGAAATTCGCACGAAAATCCGTACAACCCTTTTTACGTAAAAAATTAAATTGACCAGTTAAATTCGGCAATAGCTGATATGGCTTGGTTCCTTTCTGTTTAGCGCGGTCCAAGTGCAGTTCTTGAAAACTTTGAGATAGTGATGATTTCAAGTACAACTAGTCTTAATGCATATTCTGTGAAAAATTTGCTTCCTAATTCCAATTTTTAAGCATCAAAAAGTCAGTTTGAACTTTCTTTCCGCCATAAGGATCCATGTAATTTCGAAACTTCAAACACGTATTTCTCAAAATGGCAAAGACTGCACGTATGTCCTTCAAGCCATTCATTTCTACTTTCCCCCTGATTCCACCTCCTGAATTTTTAATTAGACGCATTTCTGCTAAACGGAACTAAGCGCCAATTGGACGTATTTCTGCCAAGCGGGAACTATGTGCATTATGACGTGAGCCTTGTTATTCATATATTCTTAAGGGTCTCAGGGCTCATGTCTTAATGCACATAGTTCCGTTTGACAGACATACGTCCAATTTGAGTTCTTTTCGAGGTTTTTAGAGTCTCTGATAGCGCGTCCTGTCAAACGGAACTAAGCGCCATCAAAAAGCATTGTGAGCATAGGACGGAACGAGCTCGTTGAGAAATTGCATCTACCAATCCAACGCGCATTCCCCTTCTTCCCCCGATGGCGCTTAGTTCCGTTTAGCAGAACAACGCCCAATTTACAAGAGAGGATAATGAGGGGGGGGGGAGCGAGAGAGAGGGAAATCCGGTAGAAGATATTGAGCTTTGGGTCATACTGAATATCGAACTGAATATCCAGTTCAAATAAACGAACTTTCCGGTCAAAGAAACTGAATTTCGGTTCCTGATGTACAGGTTGCTCTATCTTTCGACGGGGGAAAAAGTGGACTTCCGAAAATAGGGTCTCTCCATGAAACCTACAGTACCGTACATTTGTAACATGATTTTAACGACCAAAGAACATCATCAAAAATTGCTCCACTCAAGGAAAAATTGCTTAGGATTTGTGAAGTAGATTCCTCCCAGGGAGTAAACAAACATAGCTATATCGAACAAAATGGTCGTATGCGATAGTGGTTCGGTGTATCGTTTGGTTCAAAACATGAGAACATAGGTATCTCAATTAAAAAATTTTGGATTTAGGAAAAGCTGAAAATGAGAAAATGCCTAACAATTGCACTTTTCATTCCCATTTAATACTCATAAGAATAATTTTTTTTTTTTTTTGGAGTGATTGACAATCTACTTGGTAAAAGTTCGGCACAATTGATCACGCAAGAAACCCGTTCCTTCAGAGTACCCAATACAATTTTGAGGATATGTTTACATGCTGAACCAATCGATATCGATACAATCTCACCTGTTTAATGTATCGATTGCTAAAATACGAGTTTTTCTTTTCGTTTCTTGCAAAAAAAGAGCTGTAACAAATGAAAAAAAATCTCCTCGAAAACCCTAAATTAAAACCAAATTAGACTGGACGCGAAGTATTTCGTTCGATTAGTCATCTCGAACACAGCGTTAGGTAAGTCAAATTCGGTTTTAATCCAGGGGTTTGGGAGAGATTTTTAACCAATAGACTGCTGAAGTTTGCTTTTACACTGTTTCAGCTTTTTTTGCAAAGATTGAAAAGCAAAACTCGTATTTTAGCAAAATTTGTTCGATATATCGATGTTTCTTTCCTTCCTGAGAAGAATCACCTGATGGGAACAAAAAATATAAACATTGGTTTGGTTTAAATATTGCCACGCTGTCAACGGAACAGCTGTTTCATTCATTTCAATATTTTCCATCAGCATATGATTGCACAGTGATAAGTCATAATAAAAATGAGAAATATTTTTTAGAGCCGCTAAACATTTCTCACGGAAATACTGATTACCTAGCTCGCGTTTAGAGGACTCAGTTTAAAAAATCAATCAAACCGCAGAACAAGCACCATGAGGGAAATTTGTCACCTACAAGTTGGACAATGCGGAAATCAAATTGGTGCCAAGGTATGATTATTTGTTTTCAACTTCTTTCATATGCATGTTTTTACATCTCACCACAGAATCGACAGTCGTGCACATCAACATATATCTCGCACAGGAAAGTTAAAATTGTTCAGACATGCTATACGTACTATATTAATAAAATTTATTACCTAGTTGTACCGTTCATATTTCAAAATTTGAAATGTTTTCCTTTTTGATGCTTTCAAAACTTCATTTTGTCCATTCATTGGAGGCAATCTTAATTCCAATTTGAAGTGGAAAATTTTCATAATATTGCTTCGCTAAAATTCTGACTAAGCCACCTAAGGGAATGAATCAGATCAAGAGCAAACTAACCATTACCCAAAAGAACGTAAAATGAAAAAATCACGAAGGGGAAGGACTATGCAGCCATCCGTATGGAACTCGACGTGATTGTCAAGTTTCATTCATTTTTTTTTAAAAAAAGATTTATTTTATTGTAAGCCTCCAATACAGGAAATATATACAATTAGCATAAGTAATGCATGTAGAGGTAACAACAGATTAATTACTTAATATAGCTACAGTTAGTCGATTATATAATTTTAAATAAATTCATTGAGGGAGTGAGTTCTAATAATTTTCTGTTGGTAGTTTTGGGAGGTGATTTCCGGTGAACATGGCATTGACCCCTGCGGCGTTTACTCTGGAGACTCCGATTTGCAGTTGGAGAGGATTAATGTTTACTACAATGAAGCCTCCGGTAAGTCTTTTTGGTTAGGAATACTGTGAAGTTTCTATTATGCGCACCATGATTATTCGAGATTTTTTTTCCGGTAACTCTTTTCATGGGGGAAAAGGAAAGTTGGGATTCAATCTATGTAACTTTGAGAAAATCTCACTTTAAACGCATGGAAAATATCCCAGCGCGGAAACGTTAATTCTATGCCGCTGCAGCTGCTCTAAAAAATTTCTTCTTTGAAATGATGTTTGTCGAAATGATCCATTTGAAGGTAAAATTAATTAATTGTTGACTATTATGTACATTTCTATCCACAATTTGACAAGTGACAGTATTCAGTTTTCTTATGACTTTAAATAAGGTGCCAAACGAGCCGAACATCAACTTGATTAAGAAACTGTGAACAACGGATGAGCAAAGAAAACTCCTTCAAATTATAGCGTAGGCAAAAAATCGTACCGTATGCACAATTAATTAAATTGGGAAATGTTTTTGCTTTGGATCACTCTGATGCACTCATGAGCTGCTTAAAAGCACGGAGCACGGAATTCATGATTTCCGTAAAATTAGCCAGTTATTATTTCCAGTTTAAAGTCCTGTGCGCACCGATGATTTCGCAAACTAGTTTGCTTCTCCAGTCTCCACTGAATACAAACAATATCAGTTTGAACTACGAGTCTTTTACGAGATTTAATTACGAGTCTGTTGAAACAGAGGGAGGTGGGTCCAGATTTCACCTATTCCAATAAATTAAATGCAAAAGAAAAAAGATAAATACAAAAAAAAATGTATTACTTGAGCAAGACGTTTCAAGGTTCCCATTTTCAACCGGGTAAAATGAAAATACATCTAGGACGGAGTAGAAGCTGAAACTTACATATCAAGGGTCAGGGCCAACCCAGTCAGATGTCGATAATGTGCCTTGGCGTCTCTCTGCTAAACTCACAATCAGCCCAGTTGCCAGTCAAAACGGTACGGTTCGTGCCGGGGGGTAGGGGGGGGGGATACCTTGAAAAAATAATTTTATTTTTTCTAGCAAAAGCTTCTACAAAAAAATTGGAAAAATTACCTTTGAGTTATTGGCCAGCATCATGCAAAAACTAAATCAATGAAGTCCTCGTATAACATAACGTAGCAAATAACATATCGACGGTGAAACTACCAAACCACGTATCTCGGTTTGCGACGTCGCAGACTTCCTGCCATACTTTATTTTTTAAATAGAAAACTACTCAACGTCAATTCGTGAAAACTTCCGTGATTTTTCCTCTTTGTGCGGAGAAAAATTTGTGAAAATTGTAAGGAATGATATTGATATGATCTCCTTCAAAAAAATAAAATGTGAGAGGAGATTTTTAAACACCGCAAACGAGATACGTGGTCTGTAGTTTCACCGTCGATATCGACAGTGTAAGTCGGCAATCACATAACTCGTTCGTGGTGTCTGAAAATCTCCACCTCTATGTTATTTATTTTAAAGGAGAGCATATTGACATCATTCCTTGAAGTTTTTGCAGACTTTTCTTCGCAGAGAGAAGGAAAATCACGGCAGTTTTAAAGAATTGCCGTTGAGAAGTTTTCCATTTAAAAAATAAAGTATGACAGGAGGTGTGCGACGCGACGTTGCAAACCGAGTTAAGTGATTGCCGACTTACACCGTCGATAAGTAAAATATGAACTACTCGGCTGTTCATAAAATCCATTCTATTTCAATTTATGTGCAATGTGCAAAATTCTGGAAACTGCAGAAGATCACAGTAAAATATTAGAGAAAAAAAATTAGAAAGAAATGAAGTCCTCAACCGTACCGATGGATGTAACGATTAGCGGATAATTTATGCTCTTTTATATCTATCGTGGGGGAGGGGGGAATTTGGACGATTAATCAAAGTGGTACCGTTTCCAGGTGGGAAATACGTTCCCCGAGCCGTGCTGATCGATCTGGAGCCGGGGACGATGGATTCAGTGAGATCCGGGCCTAACCTAACCAAACATCCATTCTATTTCAATTTATGTACTACGTGTAAAATTTGTAAACTGCAGAAAATCACAATAAAATATTAAAAAAAATCTACAGAAAATCCAAATAAAATATTAGAAAAAAGAGAAAAAAATGGAGACCACAACCGCATCGATGGATGTAACGATTGGCGGATAATTTATGCTCTTTCATATCTATAGTGTGGGGGAGGGGGGATTTGGACAATTAATCAAAGTGGTACCGTTTGCAGGTGGGAAATACGTTCCCCGAGCCGTGCTGATCGATCTGGAGCCGGGGACGATGGATTCGGTGAGATCCGGGCCTAACCTAACCTAACATCCATTCTATTTCAATTTATGTACTATGTTCAAAATTTGTAAACTGCAGAAAATCACAATAAAATATTAAAAAAAATCTACAGAAAATCCAAATAAAATATTAGAAAAAAGAGAAAAAAATGGAGACCACAACCGCATCGATGGATGTAACGATTGGCGGATACTTTATGCTCTTTCATATCTATCGTGAGGGGGAGGGGGGATTTGGACAATTATTAATCAAAGCGGTACCGTTTGCAGGTGGGAAATACGTTCCCCGAGCCGTGCTGATCGATCTGGAGCCGGGGACGATGGATTCGGTGAGATCCGGGCCGTACGGGCAGATCTACCGGCCGGATAACTTCGTTTTCGGGCAGAGCGGGGCGGGGAACAATTGGGCCAAAGGGCACTACACAGAGGGCGCGGAGCTGGTGGACGCCGTCCTGGACGTCACCAGGAAGGAGGCCGAGAACTGCGACTGTCTCCAGGGATTCCAACTCACTCACTCCCTCGGCGGGGGCACCGGCTCCGGAATGGGAACGCTCATTATCCAGAAAATCAGAGAGGAGTATCCCGACAGGATCATGAACACCTTCAGTATCGTCCCCTCACCCAAAGTAAGTTTCATATGTTATTTATCAATATGGGCCGTATTCATAGTCATAGGTAGAGTCCTTCATAGGCAGATCCAGACGTTTCGAACGGTGGGCGGAGGGGAGGCAAGGAGACGGAGAGGGAGGGGTGCATGGGGCTTCTCCCTTAAAATTGTCGAAATTTTAAAGCTTCTATTATGCAGTTTGAGTCAATTTCGTCGTGAATAATTTTACCAAATATAAGCGTCCCTCCTTTCCCTATCCTCCGTTTCTTCCTTTCTTCTTTCATTATTTCTTCCCTTTTTCTATTACTACTACTCCTTCGTTATGAGTGTACGAGAGGGAGGAGAGAGGGAACGCTCCCTACGCTTCCCTTGGGTCCGCCAATGTTCAAAGTCGGCTCATCTCGTCAGGAACACTGTTTGAAATTTTGGAGTGAAATTCTATGCCGGAGTCTATAGCACCTAAAAATCCCGAGTTATATAAATGAGGAGCGGAATCTATTTTCCTTACGGAATGACTTTCGCTTTTAAGGAACGAGAACCACTCTTTTTTCAGTGTCATGCGCGCGTTTGGTGCGAATTGAATCAGTGAGAACGAAAACACACCAACTCGGTAACTTGAAAATGCTCAATTATCATTTGAGACAGTTAATTTTCGTAGAGGTCATCGGAATTAGCGCATCTGCTCCAACCTGGACCTTTAAAGTGTCCTGAAGTACTTGTATTTTGGCACCAAAAATCTTTTTCTCAGAATAACCTCTTCACCTACTGTGCAGTGTGCAGTTTTGAGTGTGTCTTAATTATTTTCATTTTTTCGAGTTGGTGTGTTTTCGTTCTCACTGATTCAATTCCACTTTGCATTAATAATATGGCTCGGACTCTGAATGAGCTCACGAAATTTCTCAGGGTTCTATCGAGCATTTTCTACTCCCGTTTCCAGCACCTAACTTTCCCAAGAGACTTTGATCCGTTGACCTATGCATGTCCGGACGAATGATTTTCTCGGATCTTCCTCTCTCCTCCCTTCAGTGGCGTATCTGATCTCACGCATACCGCCGATCGAAATTGCCTTCGGCCCGTAATGAATAACCTGAAAGTTTCGCGGCTCTAAAGATTTACTTTTGATTGTTCTCGGACTAGAAACTGAGGCCTTAGAGATTTCTTCGGTTCCAGCATCTGACTCGGTTGAGAAAAAGAAAATGATTTTAGAAACTCATTCGTGTGAGCTATCTCCATCAATAATTGGCGCAGGCGTGGGTGGGACTGTCGGAGGTGACTGTGAGACGCCGCGCCGCACAGTGGATCGAGTCAATTAGAGAGGTCGGACATAAAATGTTTCACTCAAACTGCAAATTTTGATGTTTATTCAGTCAGTTTTTAAATTTTAAGGGGTGACACAGACAGAAAATTTCACGAGGAAACCAATGAAACTGCTGTTAGACCCTCAAAGTTTTGTTTAAACGGAGTTATAAGCGTTTAAAGTTTCTGAATTTTGTCCGACCTCTCCTATTGACTCGATCTAGTGTGCGCCGGCCGTGGAAATTACACGCGTTATACCCTCCAACACACCGCACCGCGCTGCGTTGTTGAGAAAGCTTCTCACACACTAAATCCTCAACCTTCACGTAGTCATCAAGTGCGTGATATCCGAGCCAAAAGTGCACATTCATTGTTGCCATTTTTTGAGAGAAAAATTTAGTGTGAATCTAAGAGCTTACTTCAAGGGATTAGAATAGAGGCATACGTTCTGAGAGACTTTTTATCGTAGTCATTTTCGCTTACCTGTACAGTTTTCAGTTAATTACCTAAAATTTCAGAATCGCTGCAATCGCCCAAGTTGCTGAATCGTTGCAATTAAGATAATTATTTTCCCTTTAATTGTGGTAAAAACCGGGCAGGGACAGTCAGACAGTCAAAATAAATGACGCGTGGTCCTAGTTTTACGGCGATTTTAGCGTCGCGCAAGCTAGGGAAGGGAGCGCGGTCGAGTGTCGAGTCATCTTCACGGTGTGATGCGCCTTCAATCCAGTTAGCGGCAAGGTGCTTACACTCGTGATCAAATAGTTATCGCAAATAACTCTCGCATTGCGTTTGGTGCAATGCGAGAAGTATTCATGCAGTCTTGTAGGCGTCAATAAGCGTTTGACGCCGACCGCACTATTTGGCGCAATGCGTGAAGTATTCCTACAGTCTTGCAGGCGCTGATATGAGCTTGACACCGACCGCACCGTGTTTGGCGCGATTGTTCGAACTCGAGTAAGAATAATCGCGGCATCGAACAAGGGGGTTTAAAAGGCCCATGTTGTGTCTCGACACCGTATGAGCAGTCCAACGTAGCCTCGTTTTTTCCTTTAAAATCTTTTTTCTGAGAAAAGTTAAGAAAGTTTTCTATGTTCGCTTTTTTTACATTCAATAGACCATTAAACAAGTTACGAATTCATGCACTCAGATACATGATTCCTTAACAGAATTCCATACAGAACACGATTTGCGTAACGAGAAGTACTGAAAGCAATATTTAGCTAAGATATTCATGTTTTTATTGTCCATTGGTTTCGGGAACTAAATTGCCCGGTCTAAAGGAAAAAATAACCCCACGCGAGTCAAAGTGCGCACTACAACGGCTTTAGCAGACTACTCAATCGAGTATTATTTCTTTCTCGCACTGTGTTATTCAACTTGTGTATGGCTTGAGTTTAGGTCAAGATTGAGATTGCCATATTTTCATATTACTGAGACCGCCACAGTGACGCTTGGCGTGCAATTTAAATGCAAAAATCTATAATTACGAGTAATATTAATCAGTGAAACTTTTGGAGACCCGCACAAGACAGATGATAAATAAAAAAATACTCAACATTTTTTTTAAAAAAAAAACAACTCACTAGTGTGTCACCGGACTTGGTCGGTCAATAGTTGAAAGTTGAGGTCCCGAAAGTAAAAGCTTCCAACATCGCCAAGCTACCAGTGGACCAATGGAAGGTCTCTTGTCTCTGGTCGCAACCATCTGCTTTCACCAATAGGATCGCTTCATTTTCTCTTCGTCTTCTTTGTCTATTGCTTTACCTACCAATTTCAAAAATCAGCCCGCTAAAGTGACACCCCTATTCATTGTCATTTTGCTCCGACCCCCAGGTCTCGGACACGGTGGTAGAGCCATACAACGCGACGCTGTCTGTCCACGAGCTGGTGGAATACACGGACGAGTCGTTCTGCATAGACAACGAAGCCCTCTACGACATTTGCTTCCGGACGCTGAAGCTGACGACCCCCAACTACGGGGACCTCAACCGGCTGGTGTCGGCGACCATGTCCGGGGTGACGACTTGCCTCCGCTTCCCCGGGCAGCTCAACTCGGACCTGCGGAAGCTGGCCGTGAACATGGTGCCGTTCCCCCGGCTCCACTTCTTCATGCCCGGCTTCGCGCCCCTCGCCGCCCACGGGAGCCACCAGTACCGCGCCATCACCGTCCCCCAGCTCGTCCAGCAGATGTTCGACTCCCGCAACATGATGGCCGCCTGCGACCCCAAGCACGGCAAGTACCTCACCGTCGCCGCCATCTTCCGCGGCAAGATGTCCATGAAAGAGGTAATTGATTTATATTTCCAGACTTAGATATTGCAATAAGGAACCACTATCTCTGGCTCTTTCATTAAATCACCTTTCTGCATAGGGAAACCAGTGGCATATATGTTGTTTCTAAAATGAGCCAGAAATAGTGGTTCCTTCTTGCAAAATGTAGTCCATATCATGACGCCATCACGCGTCATTTTGATATCCCGCGCAGAGAAGGTCCTGCCAAATCGTGGATTGATAGAAAAGGCAGGAAATGAGAAAATGCGATTTACCGGGGGAGCTTCGGCAGGATCGCTATCGGAGGCGGTTGGGTGTCGCAGAGTGCACGGAAGCGCTAAGATCGGAATGTCAGTAGTAGTATTATTAGTAGCAGATATCATGACGTCATTTTCCTCTCATCATTTAGGCGAATTTCCACGATTGGATTTGGTCGACTTTTTCAACCAGATCGACAGGGTTGTAAACCAAAGGAGAAAAGTAAGTAAAGTGTAGCAGGGCACAATTATAGTGATGGATCCGTCCCTTGATAACTTGGATTTACTTTAACCGCCTAAATCTCCAGAACAAGATACCTCGCTATTTATTTTAGTAGTGCTAGAGACCCGATGGCAAATCGCTGCACTGACACCATTGAATAACCAGTATAGGCAAACTTTGATGTTTCATTTCATGCTGCAAAAAAGGGAGATTAATTTTTTCGCAATTTTCGACGATGCGAGAAGTAAAAATGTACATAAAAGTTAAAATGAACTCAGGACGGAAGCACAGTAAAAATTGTGAACTCTTCGGGTCTTAGGTAGTTGACGAAGAACAATTCGTTAAGTGGCTAAGTTGCTACTTCCGTTGAATTTCCAGGTAGACGAGCAGATGATGAACGTGCAGAACAAGAACTCGGCGTTCTTCGTGGAGTGGATCCCGAACAACTGCAAGACGGCCGTCTGCGACATCCCGCCGCGGAGCCTGAAGATGTCGGCGACGTTCATCGGGAACACGACGGCGATCCAGGACCTCTTCAAGCGGATCTCCGACCAGTTCGTCTCCATGTTCCACAAGCGGGCCTTCCTCCACTGGTACGTCAACGAGGGGATGGACGAGATGGAGTTCACGGAGGCGCAGTCGAACATGATCGACCTGGTGTCCGAGTACCAGCAGTACCAGGAGGCCACCGCCGACGAAGGAGACGACTCCGAGGAGGACGAGTTCGAGTGTGAACCCAGCGAGCTTGGAACCCTCGGCAGGTCCCAGTTCCACGTCCAGGGACAGAGTACCAGGCATTCCTCCAGGATGGACACCGGTACCATCAAGAGCTCCGATTATGGTAGTCGTTCTGATCGCGTTGGTGATGGCTTCTGAAAGCCCCCCCCCCCCCATAAGAGTGCAAGAGAGGTGCCCTGAAAACTCTACTGGAAAAAAAAGGTTTGGTTAATTTCGGCATAGTCAGAGACAAGAGACCCTCCACCAGTATCTTGGCAATGGTGGAAGCTTTTACTTTCGGGACTTCAACATTAGCCCTGTGTCCACTGGTCAAAATGTCGTCAAAATGGAAGCTCAAAGTGAATCAATCAATACGATCTGTTCGCGATTGTTGATCAAAATAGAGTCGCGTAGCTCTATTTTGATTTGCAACACTCATCAATCGCATCAAGTCCCGACTTTGAGCCATTTATCGTTGAAATCGATTCATTTTGAGCTTCCATTTTGACGAGTGGAGACAGCGCTATTCAAGTGTTGACCTACGTACTGTTGATGGTTAACAACGGGTTAGCAGTTTCGTTTGGCAAACTGACCGAAGTTTGGGAAATTTGTTAGGCTCATGACGTCACCCGAAGCTTTTTATCCACCAAGTGGGTAGGTCCACAACCGAAAAAAGAATAATGACTGTTGCTCCCCACGAATCGTCCATAAGGAAGTGTCGAGTCCCCAAAAGTAAAAGCCTGTCGCCTAGAGGCCAGTGGAGGGTCTCTTGTCTCCGGGAACAGCTAACCTAAATTAAGATGCTTAGAGGACAAGGCTCGTAAGTACAGTTTTTGCTACTTCGAGAAATTCGTCTTTAAAGTTTCAAAATTACATGGAGCCTCATGGTGGAAAGGAAGTTTAACTCACGTTTTGATTACTTAAAGTTGGGTTTTAGTTGTGAATTTTTCACAGAATATACTTTCAAACTGGTTTTAGTTAAGTTCATGAATATCTCAATTTTTTTTTTTCAAAAATTGCACTTGTGCGCCTTGTCCTCCAAGCTCCTAAATTGATGTGCATCAACTACACGGTACGGTCCAGTAAGCTGATTGGAGTTGCACTCCGACGTATGGGAGTTGTGTAGTCAACGCTAAATGAGTTCACGCTCTTCTAAACTGCGATAGAGGATCGTCTGACGTCACTATGGCATGTAAAGTAAATGGAAGAATCAAGATGGCAGATCTTTTGTCGCAGTCTAAAAGAGAGTAAACTTATTTGGGGTGGATTACAATCTAACGTATTGGGTTGAGCTCTATCTAATTGGTGTTACACCAATAAGTTGGAGTGCAATTTCAATAAGTTTACCACACAGTACCAAGAGGGTGGTGCATAAGAGCAATTTCGATTATTTTGGTCGAAATTATCCAACCCGTTTTTTTGGTACCTCAGAATTGAGGTGAGAGAACGAGGAAAGTTTTTGAGGCAAACCCTGAAAATGGTAAATGTTTATTATCATGGGCCGAACGGTATCGGCCGTCTACTAAGGTTTTCGACCCCAGCTTACGATTTTTGCAACCAAAGTTCATTCAACCGAACTTTCAATTCATGTAACTAAACTTCAGTGTATTTTTATAACTCCTTTCGGTCACATTAATCGTTTTAAGTTTTATGGACTGTAAGTTCCGTTACATGAACGGTAAGTTCAGTTTATGGTCTGAAAACTTAGAAACGTGAACCGAAAATTCGGAAATGGGCCGGAGGTTCGGTTTGATGAACTGAATAGTTCAGTCTGCATGGAACACTGAACATCGGTTTCTAAGACCGAACTTTTTTTCCCCTCATTGGATGCGCCAAAACGAATTTGTGGCCTGAACTTAACTCTATTTTTGATGCTTGGCGTCAAGTGAATGCCGTCACAAACAAAGGTATTGTCTCTCTGTCCATCAAACCTTTTATTCGTTCACATTATAAATCTCAGGCGAGTATTATCGAACGGACTGAATTGCACAAAATACTAATATCAGCGGCACTGTGTTTTATTACATCTTTATGATTTCTGATCCGCAGAAATTACACTGGAAAGAAAATAATGACCAAGTGGAACAACATAAGTAGATTGTGTCTACGTATATTATTTACTTTGTAGCGATTAGTACCTGCCTCAAATAGTTACACTCTAAAAGGATGTGTTTTAATGGTATGTGTATATGAGATATATTCATGCATTGATTTAAAAAAATAGAAAACAAATAAAGTGAATATAGTTCATGTACTATCCATTTGCTCAATTATTACAAACATGGAACGGAATTTTTACGTATAAAATTCTCCTGCATTTGGCGATTAATGTTTCACTGTGTCGAATGTAGCAAAATTTTGGATTAAAAAAAAGAATCTTCAAAAGAGAGTGCATTTCGCGCATATACATGTGACGAACTGATAAAGCGCCTGCAAAATATGACGCTACCACAACTGATACTAGAATGCAGGTCTATCAATTCCTAGACGGAATTCCAAAAGAGATCGCGTGTTACTACTACCGTGTTCTAAACGCGCCTCAACGAGCAATAATCCTTCGAATCCGCTAGAAAATAAAGGAACATTTCGACGGTGTCAGTCGGCAATCACATGACTCGGTTAGCGACGTCGCAGGCTTCCTGTCATACTTCATTTTTTAAACGGAAAACTAATCAACGGCAATTCTTTAAAACTGCCGTGATTTTTCTTCTCTGTCCGAAGAAAATTCTGAAAAAACGTCAAGGAATGATATCAATTTGTTCTCCTTTAAAAAAATAACAAAGAGGCGGAGATTTTCAGACACCCCAAACGAGATATGTGATTGCGGACTTACGCCGTCGATTTAGGTAACATTAACATTTAAATCAATGGATTGGACGCGCTTCACAGAACAATGTGTTTCGTACATTGATTCGATGTAGTACTCACCGATAAGGATAACATCTGCTTAAATGCAAAGTTTCTGATGAAATGACGTCCTTTCAAAAAATCAGACGAACGATTTCGTTTTTTTACAATAATTTATTACTTAAATCAATCACTTTCTCGTTACAAAATGCCAGTATTATTATATATTCACAAGGAGGCAATACTTAAAAGATTTCAAAAATTACCAAAACTGCAAGAGAGAGAGACTGATGGCAGTAATATTAAAGAGCCGTTCCTCAGAGACAAGCCTTTTAATAAACCTGCGTGAAGCTGACAATCAAGACGAACCAAGAGGAAAAATGCGAGAACAACGATATTATGGATTAAATTTTGCAATAAGGAACCACTATCTCTGGCTTTTCCATAAAAGCACGTATCTGCATAGGGAAACCAATGGCATATATGGTGTTTCTAAAATAAGCCAGAAATAGTGGCTCCTTATTGCAAAATGTAATCAAAAGTAATCAATCCTGCCTGGCAGCTCAAAATTACTCGTTTCTCCAATCGACCTTAGCTTAGCTCGAAAAACCCAAGTCTAATTCTTCTCAGTTAAAAAAGAATAATGGTTTGAAGTTCTATTGTCCCATAAAGTAGCAAAAAACTGTGAACCTCTCTTATCTTGAATGCAGTAATTTTTCCCAACTTTGGTTCTTTGACAGAAAATCCACGACCGACTGAGCTCATAACTACTCTTGACTCGATTTCCAAAATATGGTTTGATTTCTCTCTACCTAACTTGGGGCCATAACGAGAGCTAGTGTTGCCAACAAACGCATGAAAACAAATTGATTCGGATGTGCAGGATTTGTGAAAACTAATTCTGACTTGTTGGAACTAGAATTAACTCTATTGGGGTTTCAACGCCCCTGGTACAACAGTGTAATGAACTGGTGTAATATCTGTACAACGTAACCTTAATCTATAATACACATTACAGGTAACGAACTTCTAAGCTAGGAAGTTTTAAAAGTAATATACAGTACGACACTTCCTAAAATACAAATTTTACAGTTTAGTATTACTTCGTCAGCGAGGTTTTTATGACAGCTCCTAAAGATATTAATACCTCATCTTTACACGGTAAGCATTTTTCGACAGCATCCACATCCCGGACACTTACCAACTGGAGCCGAGATTTTCAGTAAAACTGCCAAAGCGCCGAACACTACGCCGAATTTACAGCGTTTTGGTCGAATCGCGATAGCCTTGACGGAAAATTTCGACTCCGGGTACGCCTTTTTTTTGGGTGCGGATATTGCCGGAAAATGTTCTACCTTGATGGATGAAGCTCAATGATGCAATGTTTTTTGTCGATCAAGGTTATCCGAAAAGCTACCGACTGAGATGATAGGAAAATTTGCCAACACGAGCGGAAGTAAATTTAGACCTCTATCCCTCGTCATTAATTTCAAGTGGAGTGTGAATTTCAACCTTATCGCCCTAAATTATGAGATATAAGTTTTAGAACAACACATCAAGTTGAGAGGCTTCTCGTAAAAAGGGCTTACGTAGCGTTAATTCAACGATATTCACATATTTCGCAGTAACTGACTTGGTGATCGTACACATGAATTTTGGTTCATGACCGGTAATCAGGAAATCGGTGGAATAGCCAAAAGCAACATTTTTACATCCTTTCAACCATCAAAAGCTCACAAAATCAAATTTTTATTCTCTCTTTCAAAATGAATTTTTATATTCAGTGGGTCTCATTCAATCGTTCCATCGATTTAAAATATTTCTCATTCATTGGTGTTTTTTCATCGTTTGTGTAATTTTGAGACTCGTTTATGTAAAAACAATCAAGTGGGTAACTAATTTATCATCGCTCAGTTGCGTAATTCAATGTTGCCTCCAGGGTACACTGTACAGCCCTCTTTCCGAGGAACCTCCACGTTTACCGACTAAGACGATCTTTTCACTTATGAGAAACTAATATTTAAATGTGTAATGTTTCGAATTTGTTAACATTTTTTTTTTCGCTAGATGCAACTTAGTATCTATACATTATTCCAAGACGTATGGTACATATCTACATGGAGACTATATTCAAGTTTTACAAAAAGGCAACATTTTTTGGACGGTTTATTTCCGCCTCATCAAGTCATTTCTGACGTCGGTCATGTTGTGAGCTTGATCCACGAGTGAGTCGATATTGTATTTTCCCGAGTTGATCAAGTTGTTGACGTCACTGGGCGATCCCCACGCGGCTATTACGAAACTTTCGATTTCGCATTCGTTGGACCCCCGTCGGATCCGGAAGTAGCCTCTTTCTCCCCACGAAGGACCCCAAGAGTTAGAAACGATCTGAAAGTAAGAAAAATGAAACTTGTTATAGATAAACACGATTTACACCGAGGAGAAATTTGATCAAATTGATCGGGAAAAATGCATTTCACAATATATTGCCATTGCCTTACTTGAAGATACCAACCAGAGAACGGCGAGAAGACTAAAAATAGTTTTTAACAAAAAAGAACCATTAGAATGGGATCGTTTCAGGACATTTTGTCAACGATTTTTTGTCCGCGCACCTTTTTTGTCCAGTAGTTTACGCCCACACGTACAAGTACATTAAAAGTACAAAATGTAAAATAAAAAATTAAAGTGCCTTGGAAATCATTGAATTTGACTCGGAACCACCAATATTTAACAGACACATTATATTATTACTCTCCTTTGATGAATTGATACTTATTTTTTTTTCATCAATTTAAATGAGAATAATCAATGCAGAGTGTGCAAACATTTCAAAAAAACGCTGAATATGCGAGTATAAATATTAGAGCCTAACAGAGCGGAGCGGCGTGCTGCCAGAGCTGAGAGAGGCTCAGAGGCGCCTACAAACCTAAGTGGATACTTCGCGCATTGCACAATGCTTGAAGTATTCACTTAGGTTTGTAGGCGCCGATGCGCGTTTCGCCCGCCCGCCGCGCGGCGGCGCCTGAAGCAACTATTTCACAACAGAGGTTTTGCACAGTATTATACGAAATTGAACGTATTAAGAATGACAGGCATCCTTTAAAAGTACAGTTGTTTCCTCGCAAAATAAATCAAGATACTTATCGTACACAGGAAAAATTTAAGAGCCTTTAGCTGAGGCAAATCAAGAGGTTTATTCGGTTCAGGTATATAACAAGGTGGGAATTTCTTGAATGATAATTAAGTCCTGTTGTACCAAAGATGTGTAGAGAGTTTTAGTGAATTTTGTCTAATGGAATTGATGCTCCCTCATTTTTACCAAAAATCTCAATTATATATTATTCTCCGTTGGATCAAACAACCAAAAAAAAAAAAAAAAAACAAGCAAACCCTTATTCTTCCAAGACATTATACATTTTCATCCAAAAACGTCGTGAGCAATTGTCATTTGTATTACATGTGGACCAATTAACTTTGGGTCTCAACTGGCACGTGGACCAAAACCTCCGTGCCGAAAAAAACGCGCGGACGTAAATTACTGGAAAAACCAGGTGCGCGGACAAAAAATCGTTGACGAAATGTCCTATAACCAATGGGATAGAGAAAAAACAAAAATGAAAACTTGATTGTGTCTTTTCCCTGTTTCGGCCACTATCATGTTCATTACCCCATGTTTGTTTATTTCCTATGTCATCTTTTTCCTTCTTTTTATCTTTTTTCTCTTCTTTTTTCTTTTTTATCTCCTTTTTCTTCTTTTTTCTTCTTTTTTTTTCTTTTTCCTTCCTCTTCCTTCCTCTTCCTCCTTCTTCTTTCCTTCAATTTAAAAGGGAATTTTTATATTTTTTAATTTCAGTTATGTATATTGAGCATTGAGCATGTAATTGGAGCGGAACATCCAGGTCAGGTCAGGTTTCTTGTATTCAATTTAGCCTCGTAGACCCGTTTTTTGTTCATACGTAATTTTTATCCAGACACGAAGTTAAATAAGGAATTAGGAATAATACAATGTCTGAAGTATAAATGGAGGATATGACAGGCAAGACAAATTTTCCATCATAACCAAACGCTCCTTTACTCTGAACGATAACTAATTCGACACAAATTTCACACGGTTGCATACTCGCCGTTTTTAAGGCGTTTCTTACCCACGCGCATTCTGATGTCTAAATTGTTTGAAAAACCTCCGGGCTCTGGGCAGGTTGGATAGAAACTCGTAACGTAACCTGCCTACGTACTATTTTTTCCATTCTTCGCGCAGGGCAGCATCGATATTTTTTTTAATACATTTTCGGGGGTTTTTCTTTTGTCATTTACGAGGATTTTTAATTCACGCTAATCACAAGGAGGGTTACTTCAATAAAAATTCCTCGAGTTAGGTTAGGTTTGTCGTTGGTAATCGATATGAAGATATATGAGGAATCGTCATTACTCCCTATCAATGACGACAAGTATTTATTTAAAGCCAATTAAACAAAATTGAAACAAAAACTGGAGCATTTTCTCACCCAAAATCGTTCTTCTCTATTAGTCAGAGGGCTGAATTCACTGCCCCATCCGATAATTCGAACCGCATGATAGCCTGTTCTTTTATTACTCGGGGCGCTTGAACAGTGGTAAACTCCGGTTTTATATAGGAAGAATTCTCTCGATATTTTCATGGTAGCTGAAATAAAGAAGACACATTGTTCATGAAAGATCATCTTTTAAACATGTTAAGGGCCGTGCCAAAGAAATATAGTGTATTTCCTAAGATAATTATTGTCTCAGCCGTGTCTCTTATCTCTCATTCTCTCCACAACTTTCTTTTTTTTCTTTCTTTACACTCGAAGGACATTGGTCCTCTATCAAAGTTTCCAAATACGTAATGAATGAAGTTTAATATGCTTCATCGAACGATGTAATGGCACGATTTCTTCGACTTAACTCTTGAAGAATCAATCATCCTTTTTTAGGAACGTGTTTTCAAAGTTTAGCTGTTAATATTCCTCTTCGAAACCAATGCTTATCTCTCGTCATAAAAGTTCAATTTTCCGTATAGAATCACTCCTGGAAGCATTTTTTGATAATACGTTGACACCCTGAATGAATGTGATTTATCGCTGGAATGAGGAAAACCCGGCGATATTCTCGAGGGTACTTACCTTGCACCGGCCCTGATGTCATAATATCAAACATGATATCTTTTTCATTTTTCAACTTGTAGACCGGCCCGACTCTGTACAATGGCGTAAAAGGTGACGGTCTGCCCTGCGGACACTTGCTCATTTGGAGCTTCTTCTTTTTGGGTACTCTGCATTCTGTTTGGGCAGCTACCCAACTGTAGCACGACTCGGGAACCAGCCTGCGGAAAATTGTTTAATCAAAAGTTAACTGAGTTTCAACAGATTTTTAATTATAATGTTTTTCAAAAAAACATTGATCCAGCAGTTGGATCTCTTTATAATCAATGCATTGCATTGAAGTTTTTAATTTAAAACGACGGGTACGAGCTATATTGATCAGTCAAAACGAGTTATTGCGATCCATTATTGCGAAAGGCACCGACGTCAGTTTTAACCTGTGCCAGTTCAAAGCTCATGCACGAGGACCAAATCTCACAAACAGTGCTGATCAGAGCTACAGCCTACAGAGATCAGTTGGATTGCATTTTGCAAAAAGGAACCAAGAGCATTGCAATGTTGCTGAAATTGTGAGACTCCTTTTGCCTTGAAAGAAAAACTTGATCATCTACAAAAAGTCTCTATTTTACACGCTAAAAACTGTAAATTTAAGACACAAAAATTACCATGTGAATTCCATATAATCGCATGATTACAGTAGTTTTATGGATGAAGTTGCACAATCTTAGCAACACGGCAATGCTCCTGGATCCTCTTTGCAAAATGCAATCCAGCTCTCATGAGCACTGAGCTGCGTCGCGTCGCGTCGGGCGGNGGGGGGGGGGGGGGGGGGGTTCTAAGTTTAAGCACTAGGATATGGAACTGTGCTCACCCGAATTTTCTGATGAAGATCCATGCCCTGGTGAGGTGGCCGCCGTTGCAGCCTTGCTGGCTCTTGCTGTTGCAGGACAGGAGGTGTTGGGGCGCCAGGGTGATCGGGCGCTTGGTCATGATGGCGTAGCGGTCGGACGCGACGGCCGCCGTGGACACTGCCCACGAGGCGGCGCAGTCGCCGGTCTGGTCGATCGGACCCGTGATGAGTCCCGGCCACTCGTTCCGCGAGTCGAAGCTCCGCGGTATCGAGTCCGCGTCGTACATCAGCTTCAACGGCTCCATCTTCAGCACCTGTTAAACAAAAGGGTGAAACGATGAAATTCAATGCTAAGAACAAAATAAACGTATTTATGTTCAACAGAGCCAGAGACGGCCGGAAAAGATGGAAAGTCGACGGCGTAAGTCCGCAACCACGTATCTCGTTTGCGGTGTCTGAAAATCTCTGCTCCTATTTTATTTTTGTAACAATGATTAAATCGACATCAGTCCTTGAAATTTTTCCAGAATTTTCTTTGCAAAGAATACAAATTTTTTTTTTTTTTTTTTTTTTTTTTTTTTTTNTTTTTTTTTTTTTTTTTTTTTTTTTTTTTTTTTTTTTTTTTTTTTTTTTTTTTTTTGGTCGTCAATAGAGAACGCAAAGTTGTAGATAGGTGCGTATTCTGCCCAATTTGTGCACTGAGCGAGAACGTGGAAAAATAAAATTTAACATACATTTTTCTTGGAACTATCTCGATCAAACAGCATACTTCAAACATCCACAATTCACTCCTGTTCGGGCAACTTTTGTCCCAGAATATCCCTAGGAATTTTGTGGTCTAGAGTACCTGTTCTGCCCGTTCTGGTTGAGCTGGACGCGACATGATGATACATCCTGGTTACAATAATTCTGCCGTGCTAAGAAAGAACGTCGTATGAACATGCGATAGTTGCCAAATTTCCTCGAATAAAAATTGTATGAGTGAAAAAAGCTTTGTATAGTTGTCCTTGACATTTTCAGATATTTAAGATTAAATCGCAAGGAAGATTTCCTGAAAAATTGGAGATAAAAGATTCACAATTTTCCCGGTAAATTTGACTTTTATTGAAGGAAATATGGCAACATCTGAAGGCTCATACGGCGTTTCTCCTTCGCACGGCGGTATTCTTGCTCATTGGACGTCCATGTTGCATGTCTAAAAAATGAAGGCACCTCGGCTTTCTTGCGAACGGAATAATACGAAAGATATCAATGAAAATTATTATTCAGGATACGGCGAGGGGAAATATTGAAATTAAGAAGGCTCACCTTTTTCTTCGAGTGCAGATTGCCAAGCCGTTTAGCCAGTCCCTCGTCGAGGCGTCTGCCCCAAAACTCGGAGTAATTGCCGGCTCGCCAGCCAAATTCTCTAGAATTCTGGTTAATTTGTGATATGACCTCCTCTTCTACGATACATTCTTGCGTCTCACATAGGACATCCATGCGTCCACCAACGTCTTGACATTCACTGAAAACAAACCATCAATCCAATGTCAGTTGATCCTCAAATTAAAGGAAGTCCATTTGAAAGTGGCGCGGGTCTCTTTACACGCACTGGAAAAAAAAGTCTTTTGGATCCGGAGTCCAAATTCGACGAGAAAGAATACTCTTGAATCAATCGGATATTTGCTTGAGAAAAAAAAGAAATCCGCTTAAATTAAGAGGCTGGACTCTCGATTCAAGGGGAAATACGATTGAAGCAAGAGTATTTTTTCTTGTCGAATTTTTTAAGAGTCTGGACTTTGGATCAAAGAGACTATTTTCCAGTGTGGGCGGAAATAGGGGAGCAGGACCCCCCCCCCCCCCAGAAATCTTCTCGACCCAAAAAATCTTAAAATGGGTCGGACCCATTTTATGAAATATCAGGGATTTTGCTAAATGAGTGCAAGATGTATCTTTCATCTAATTGTAATTGAATCGATTTTTCTATTATAGGAACAGCTCAAAATAAATGGATTTTATTTTACAATTGAGAACTAAAATTTCTGGCTCAAGTTAGAAACATCATATCGACGGTGAAACTACCAAACCACGTATCTCGTTTGCGGTGTTTAAAAATCTACGCTCGCATTTTATTTTTTTGAAGTCGACCAAATCAATATCATTCCTTGAAATTTTCACAGAATTTTCTCCGCACAAAGAGGAAAAATCACAGAAATTTTCAAGACTAGACGTTAAGTAGTTTTTCATTAAAAAAATTAAGTATGACGGGAAGTCTGCGACGTCGTAAACCGAGATACGTGGTTTGGTAGTTTCACCGTCGATATGTGCCATAATTTTCTTTATGCAGGTAGGTGCTTTTATGGATGGGTCTGAAATTGTAGTTCCTAATTGAAAAATGCGGTCCAATATTTCCCCTGAGAGGACTGAATATTCCACAATTTTACACAGGCCACCCAACCCCCAGACCCACCTTTGAGGCGAGGAAAATCCCCCGAACCTGTTATAGACGAAGTCTCGCAGATCCTCCTTAGTGGGATGTCTTTCTATGCCCCCCTCCCCTACTCCCCTTGATGAAATGACATTCTGGCCCTCCACGAAAAGTTCCTAGTCCCGCCATGTCTCTTCAACTGAGTGTCGCTGAAAATTACACAAGCACGCACACAGTCAATGAATTGGGAGCAGAGTTTTCATTTTTTCGGAACAATCTTGGGCTGTAAGCAGGGCCGGATTAAGGGGGTGGTCAAGTGGGCCGCGGCCCATGGCGGTAAATCTAGGGGGCGGCAAATTTTGCAATTTTTGAAATGTAGGTATTAAAAAAAAAATCGGATTTAGAAAAAAAAATTACAAACGAGAAAAGGCTACAAAATCTCTCATTTCCTGAGAGCATAGTAATTTCTAATTTTGTCGTCTCTGAGTGATACAAGAGACAGCACCTTTAATTAGTCGTGTCAAGAGAGAACCCCAACACACAATTTGGCCTGGAACGGCGCGACTTAGGGAGAAATGATGGCGTGGACTTGAGATGAAAAGGAGAAGCCCTCGGCACGGCAATCGGCATGTAACACATATTAGCGCCTACAAGACTGCACGAATACTTCACGCATTGCATCAAACACAGTACGGTAATTGTGGTCAGCGTGAAACGGATAGCGCCTACAAGAATGCATGAATACTTCATGCATTGCGCCAAACACAGTGCGGTCAGCGTGAATTGCATAGCGCCTACAAGACTGCGTGAATACTTCACGCATTGCGCCAAACACGGTGCGGTCGGCGCGGCGGCGGAAGTTAAAATCATTAAACCAAATTTTGTGTTTGTTCTTTCATAATTTTTTCGTTAATTTCTTATGAATGGAAGGCCTCGTCCATTAAAGATAGGTTTACGAAACTTGACTTTTGCGCAAAGTTCCGTGACCTTTTGCCAGTAAAGTAGACAGGGCTTTCCCAAAAAATGTGTTACATGAGTAAACGCGTCTTATGCACCCCTCCCCCGCTGGCACGTTCATTTGATGGTTTTTGTTAATGTTTCAAAATGAATGAGAAGGGGGCGGCAAAATGCAGGCGGCCCATGCGCGGCAAGTAGGAAAATCTGGCCCTGGCTGTAAATTGGGGTAATGATACGACACATGGACGAGGACAAGGTAAAAGAAACCGAGAAATCTTACTTTCAGACAATTTTAAATGGTGATTATCATCTCATACATATATCAATGTGTAATTTTCATTTTAAAGGGTGTAAATTGCATAGTTTTGGAGCCGTGCTACAATTTTTTACTCTTTCATACAAGTTCAGGGATGTCATTCGGGGAGAACGGGGTCATTGCCTCCCTCCTTTCGATGAAACATTTTTCCACATTGACTAACGTTAGTGATTTTTCCCACAAGTGAAGTTTTGCCCACCACGAGCAAACTCTACGCACTCCCAACAACTTTTGATCTTTAAAAGCGCAGACGAAATGTCACTTCTGTCTGATTATTGTGCGCTTGTATTTAGTTTCATTACAGAAAACCGATTATGTGAAAAAGGAAAAGAAAAGAGAAATCCATACGAAAAGCATACGGTACAGATAAACGACGGTACCTAATAAAGAAGGTCCTCGCGAAAAGTATTCATTTGCTTTTTGCGTGAAATAATGAGAGACATATCTTGCACGATTGAGTCCTTGCCCTTGCATTGCCATTCGCCGTCCAAACTCAAAAGTAACGAAAATAACGCGGGCTTAATTGAAAATCAACTATGCGAGAGATCACAGTCTACATATTTCAACAGGACGGAGCATGTTCAATGATTCAAGATTGATGATAATGCAACGCGGAAGTCGTATTGAAAGTGCTGCGCCCACGTCGCAATTCCGAATCGAATAGATGGCGGCAAAAATAATATCCATAGATCTCTTCCCACCGCGTTGCGTTTGATACTCATTTTTGTTTTCGTTTGATGTAGATGTATGTCAGAAACCACTCCAGGAGATAACATCTCAATCCGCGCGGCATGTAAATAGCTCACCCAGAATACCGCCGTGCTAAGGAAAAACGCCGTATGAACCTTCATACGTTGCCAAATTTCCTTTGATAAAACGCGAATTTATTGGTAAACTTATGAATATTTTCATTCCAATTTTTCAGATAATTTTGTTCGCGATCTCACCTAAAGTCCCTGAAAATTTCGAGGACAAATATTCATGACTTTCCTCAGAAAATAACATTTTATTGAAGGAAATTTGGCAACTCTCGAATGTACATACGGCGTTCTTCCTTAACACGGCAGAATAATGGAGAGCAAAATCGGGAACCGCGTGAGCGATGGAGTGAAGAACGCCCCGCACCACAGGTTACATTGCACCGAGCTCTGGAATGCGGAATGTCCATCTAACTGGGTCATGATGAAGTTGAAGGAAAAAGTTGCACCCAGTGCAGATTGGAAACACGTCATTCTTGACTCATGCATGATTTATGAGATGCGCGTCGTGAATTTGAAGGAGGCGACGGTAATTGCATAGCCTATCATTTGAAGGCGCATTATGACGTCTCTTCATTAGGAGCGAGCACGAACCAGAAGTTCGCACTGTCCTCGACGATTCAGTCTCGCGTCTCGCGAATTTCATACGTTACGCATAGAAAACCCCCCAAGGCGATGCTCCATTTGAACAAAAATAAAATATCGTTTGCGCTGAAAATCCAAGCTAAATTACTGAAAACTTCATCACTCGGCACGAAAGAATGGTCCATAGGTTTGATTCGAATTCGATCTACCTCCCTCATTCACACATCTAAGTCTTATACGATACTTTAACATAGGAGGATCCAGGGGCGGTGTAAGAGGTGTATGCCCTCTTCCCCTCGTTCACCCGTGAAAAGGAGGAAGAAAAAGGTCAGAAAGAGAGAAGGAAAGAAGGGAGGAAAGAAGAAGGAAAAACGCTTCCATTTGGTAATTAATCACGACGAAATTGACTTGAACTGCACATTTGATGCTTCAAAAATGCGAAAAGTTTCTGAGGAGTGCCCCCAGACCCCCCTCACGCCCCCTTCTCGCCGATCGAAATGTCTGGATTCGCCTTTGTACTTTTAACAAAGCTGGACAAGCTTTTGTACTTTTATTAAAGGAGAGTGTGAAGTCATGAATCAATGACGGTGAAAAAAAAAAACGTCGGCAATTTTTTAGGAAAGACAGCCTTGTCATAATCGGTTGAAAATGATAGCACTAAATCGACGATAATCTTTGGGGTTCCCATCACGATAATGTATGTTGGCGTCATTATTTAACTTTCACTAATTTTCTTCTTTTCCTAACAATAATAGACTTGATAAATCTGCTTATTCAAGCATGGCTTGGGACAAGGTACTAGAGTTTTAAACTTTCTCATGTCTTTGAGTCTTTGGCTGGAATTTACTTCCTCGGGAAAGGCAGTACGAACATGCGGGCATAAACATGCATTCGGACGCACACTTTGGAAAACCATAAGCAGTGGCGTGGCGTGAATTGCGATGTATCGATTGTTCTGCCATTTAAACATATGGTAAGGAATTGATTATTAAGGTGTTCGCTGCAAACACCTTGTTTATCGATCCTTTTCCATAGGTTTAAATGGCATAACAATCGATATATCGCAAAGCACGCCACGCCTTTGGCCATAAGAACCATTCTCGGGCACTCTCCGATCTTCATCCCTGGCATTCAGATTTCCCGAAAATGTTTTGCCTCTGTGTGTAAGGTAAAGCTGAAATGGTCCATAGCTTGATTCTCATAAAAAATTAACGATTTATTCCATTGCCTCGCCGATACTAGTGAGAGTAATGAAAGTGGACCATTCATGCGTCGAATTCGGTGTGAACACCAAGGGCCATTAAACAGTCAAGCACTCACCATTCCTTGCAGTTGACTTTGAATTTTTCTCGGTGGAGGTAGTATCTACCTTGGAAGTAACAAGCTGAAACAGTCAAAATCAAGAGACATTGAATTGGAATCGAATTTTTAGAAAAAAATACACAATGAAAAGTCTACTGAAGAGAAAAACGAGGATCGAAATTTGATTAACATTGGGCCTTGGATTTCGCGTTCAGCAGAGTGGAACCAACGGAATTACATCAGTGTTTCCAAAATCTGCAACTCCAATTCTTTTCTTTTAAAAATACTAGTTATACACACAGTGATACAATTTAAACAATCGTTTCCCTTCAGAATTGACGATTTTTTGGCGAAAAAAACGTATTTCCTATTCAGAGTAATTTATAAGAAAAAGATTGAGGTGCACGATTTTTACAAAAATTTCATCGCGTTGGTTCTCTCCTTCTAAATGTGATCCATTTTTCAATAAGAATCCACTATTTCTGACTTACCCAAAAAAGGAACAATATACTTAGGAAAATCAATGGTACATATGTTGTTTCCATACAATGGCCCAGAAATTTTGGTTCCTTAATGAAAAATGTAGTCTAGCTGTCAACAGTTCAGTTCAATTCTACCATCATAAATTTTTCCATTTTTCTTCAATAAATCGTTCCATCACAAGTAAACCAACATTTTTTTTCTTTTAAAATTTGAAAGATAATTGTGATATACCATCGCAGAAAAAATGAAGCTTAAAATGGTGATCAGCTTTGTTTGAAATAAAACATTTTGTGTGGTAGGAGGATGCAAAATCTGAGAAAAGAGTAAACCGGCGTTCTTGTCTTGGCTGCAGAGTGTCATATTTATCAAAATGATAAAAATGAAGGCTCTCGTCAGATTTTGGAAAACAATCTGCTAGAAGGGAGGCCTACTTTTGAAATTCATAGCGCCTTGACCTTGATCGTCTTGCGACCTTGACATACATACGGATTCGGTCTTGGGTATACAAGGATTCCTTTCATCTCTCCTTTTCGAAAAAAGAAAAAAAATAATAAAAAACGGAACCGTTGAAAATGACGCATATTTACACGGCTCTCCAGAGATCACGTCAAATAGATTCAAGCTGTTCCTCGAGAGACGAGGCTTTATTTAACTGTGTTTTAGTGCTGTTTGCTCTGCCAGCCTCACATTCACTAAATCGCGTGTTTTTTCTTTCCTTTCAAAAACCCGGGAGATGAACACCGAGCAGAGCAGCGACGCCGGGATGCAACTCAAAAACCGCGCATCTGCACACGCGACGACTCGCCGAGTTGCGCGGTTTCTCGTCGGCCGTGCAGAATGCGTGTCCTCCCAGACCGGGCTCGGTTTCAAGTCCCGTTGTCGTCTTAATGAAGCGTTTCATAACTTGCTGAAGAGGAACAAAACAGTTTTTTGTGTGACGTCCTTCAGCTCTGTTCCCGGTTTTACTGCCGCGATAAGCTGAAACCGCCCAACTCTGATTTGAACCCGTGTCGGATGGGCGGTTTTTGCCGAGCGCGGGAGTTTATGGGTACCAGTGGCGTGGCGTGAATTGCGATTTATCGATTGTTGTGCCATTTAAACCTGTGGAAAAGGATCGATACACAGGGTGTCCGCAGCGAACACCCTCATAATCGATTCTTTACCACGGATTCAAATGGGGAAATATCGATAATCGATCATTCACGCCACTGATGGGTACGGGACACCCGCGACCGCTCGGAGCCGATAAGTAGGTACGTGCACCATAACCTCGTTATTCAAACAGATTTCGACAGTGATCTTACGATACTCGTCGCCTTGTGCGTTTTTAAAAGCTTTCAGCTATTCGGACGATAACGGAAAAATCGATGCCGATGCCGATGGGCGATGTAATTTCGAGTAGATACGACATGTGCTCCCACCCACTCGAGTGGTGTGAGCTGAGCCTCGGAATATTTGGACGTCTCTTGAGCCTTCCTCCGTGCGATCCATGCCCAAGCTCAAGATAAAGCTCGGCGTACCTCCGCACGGCTAGAGTCGCCGAACTTTACTTCTTCGCGATCATGTCGCGACTTGGACATGCACTGGAAAAAAAAACACATTGGGTCTAGAGTCCAGACTCTTAAAAACATCGACAAGAAAAAATACTCTTGATTCAATCAGATTTAAGCTTAAATCAAGAACCAAGCCTCTTAATTTGAGCGCATTTCCTTTTGATTTAAGCTTAAATCTGATTGAATCAAGAGTATTTTTTCTTGTCAATTTTTTCAAGAGTCTGGACTCTAGATCTAATGTGTTTTTTTTCCAGTGTGGGTTCATCTTAAGACAAGGCTTATATAACATTATCACCTCTTGCATCGCGTTACGAATTCATCGGCTGTTAAAATTTGACGAACACTCTGTATATCTGTTCGATGTTAACCGGTGCACAGTGAATCGAGTTAATGGAAGAGGTCGAACAAAATTTGGAAACTTTAAAAGCTTATAACTTCGTTAAATCAAAACTTTGAAATGTTGAAAGTGGTCCCATTGATTTCCTCGTAAAATTTCCTTTTAGAGGCACCCCTCAAAATGTTTATTTAACGACGAATTAAACGTCAAAATTTGCGGTTTTAGTCAATAATTTCGTGTCAGACCTCTCCGATTGACTCGATCCACTGTGCGGATGCTAGGATTCTTTGTTCCATAATGTCCCACCAGAGGCAAAAATGTTATCTGGACCCTGCCCTAAAATATAATAAGCTCTATGCCCCCTGACAGCAACGCGGCCCAACCTCCAGAGAGCGCCTCGCGCCCTCTAAGGCCCGCTTCGCGGGCCCTTGTGGCGCAATCGGAATAGAGCGGGATTATTGAGGGACTACCTCCCATCAATTAGCAGTAGCCAGAAAATTCATGAAAATCGCCGGGTAGATCTTCCAAAAAAACAGTGAATAAAATGAACATGATTCCATGAGATCTCTAAAAATAACGTTAAAAAATTTGCTATGACAAGAGGTTAAATCCGACCAAAGGTGGTAGAACCGACAAAAAAGTCTTGGAAAATGACATCAGAGCAGTTCTTAGGGGCTTTGTGACAAAACGCTGAATAGAACGCAGACAATGCTCAAAGAGAGAACGAGCATTGTATTGCTTGCTTAAGTTATTAAAACAAGTTGGAAACCAAGTTGGAGGAAGCACATTGACATGGAGGATGACATCATGTGCAGTTTTCCTCAGTAGTTGATATCCCTTTAAATTATAAATCTAAGACCTTAACGTTCAGGAAATTATCATTTTTTGCTAATCATGTGGCTCAATCATCAAATAAAGTTAACAACACCTTTAGCTGACTCATTAAACAGAGAGATCAATCCGATCGCGCGACGCTACATGTGCGCAGGAAGAGAGAGGTGCAGGAGTTTCTCCCAGCTAATTTCTCCCCTTAGAGGTAATTTCTGCAATCGAGGGATTTTCGGGATCCTGCTATTTTACCACGAGAAAGTATTGAAATTAGAAAACCATAGACGGATCTAGATACTGAGAATGGAGGGAATTTTCCTCCGGAAAATTTTCGAAATTTTAAAACATCTGATATGTGGTTTGAGTCAATTTTGTCATGAGCTATTACCACGGGCGTAGGGGGGACGCCCCCTACGCCTTAGATCCGCCTATGTATAGACAACCCTCTACACCCGATTAAAAATCTCTTGACATGCTACTGTGTCAAGGTTATTACGCCGTGATTCACTTCCCGTATTAACCAGAAGCGGATTATACTTTTCACTCCGCTTGTCACTGTGAAGTGCACTATGCAGAACACGTGCACACGTGGGGATTGCACCGCAGTGCATAGGAGCAATCACGGCGGTAGCGAAAAAAAGAGAAAAGTAAGAGAGGGGAGAGGCCGGAATGAGGAGGATGAGACGAGGCAAGCAACGGAGACAATCCCACCGCACACAAATCGACGAAAACACGGGTTTTTAAAAATCGGAAATGATAAGTGCTTTTGTTCGTCTGGAGAGTGATTTTCTGCTTGGCTCAGCTGCGCCGGTGCACCGCCGCGCTGCACCGCTCCGGTGAGCGCGAGGCGGTGGCGTGGAGCGAGAACTGAATGCGGAGATGCTCGTATAAATCAATCAGATGAGATGCAATGCAAGAATAAACTTAGCATAATGCACGGGCTCCAAGGTCACTCCGCTGCCCTACAAATTGCTCTCTCATTAACAACAAGCTCCGATAAAATGACATAAAATGTAATCTGCAGTTTATTAACGGAGCGCACACCCAGGCGCACGAGGAATGAGGCAATGCAGCAGGCAGGCTCCGGCGACACTGCACTCTGTGGTGTGTGCAGTATCCGTTCCCATTATACGAGTCTCGGTTTCTTAGTTCCTCGCCAGAATGACACATACCGGGTGTCATACACTGCCACATTGTGGTCGCTTCAATCAGACGTATTTATGCTAAACGGAACTAAGTGCATTATGACGTGAGCCCTGTTATGCATATGTTCTTATGGGTCTCAGGGCTCATGTCATAATGCACATAGTTCTGTTTGGCGGAGATACGTCCAATCGGCCGACGATAAAATCGTTCATGAGAATGGGGCACGGGTGAGGATCGACGCCGATTCCCTCGGCGCGTAGCATGGGTACAGTGGGCGCTTTTTGACCTGCCTCAACGTGCTCACGAGTGAGGTGCGGAGGCGGTAGAAACTTTTGGGCGGCTTAGAGGTTCCTACTATACACTGTACAGGGTGATCCAGAGTTAAATGGCCAGACTGCAGGAGCCGAAACACCTCCAAAACCCCCCCTCATTAAATTCAGATTTCGATTTTTTTTTAGATCATTTATGAATCCAGGGTGGATCCAAGGTAATGAGGGGGGGGGGTTTCCTCCTGGGAGGAGACGTAGGGGACGCCCAGTGAGAGGTTGGCGACAGGGGGTGTTAAGTGATATGGGGGAGTGTCAACTCCCTGATGACCTGTGGGAAGACCGAGCTTTGTGGCGATTGGGCGTCGTAGAGCGCCGAAGAGCGCTGTAAAAGCGACTCATATGTATGTGCATGAATCCAGGGTAAAAAAGTGCATGGAAAGTACAAAGTTTCATGAGATTTGGCTCACAACCGTTCCCAAAATTCAGGAAAAACGACTTACTTTCCAAAATTTTGAGGGGGTAGCTCCGACTGGGGACTGGGATTGCTCTATACCCCTTATGTCTTCTTTGTCTAAAGTTTTGTCTATCAATTTCAATAATCGGCCCGCTGGGGCTCAAAAAGCACACTTACTTCTAACCTCCTCCGGCGGTCTTGGGATTCCTTTACAGTGAGACCAGAAATCAGGACAACAATCGTCATTGCTCGTCCTGTTACAGAAATCATCACAGTAGCAGAGAGTGCCAAGTATGGGTACTGAGCAGCCATCTTGTCTCCCTGGACAGCATCCTTTCGGCCTTGTTTCGCAATAAGGCCCTTCGAGATCTGGAGCGTATTTGATAGCTTGAACACATATCCACAGTCCTACAGTGACTACAATAGCTCTCCAATCTACCTGAAAAAGAAATTGAAAAACATCAAAATAATTGAACGAGGCAAATAATATCGACGGTGTAAGTCGGCAATCACATAACTCGGTTTGCGACGTCACGTCGCAGACTTCCTGTCATACTTTATTTTTCAAACTGAAAACTATTCAACGGCAATTCTTTAAAACTGCCGTGATTTTTCTTCTCTGGTCGAAGAAAAATTCTGCATTAACTTCAAGGAATGATGTCAATTTGATCTCCTTTAAAAACAAGCGGGAAAGTTCTAATACTGTCGTATTAGAAAAGCGCTCAGGTGTTAGTCAATGTATTTAGTGAAGAAAGGAAGTATAAACTCCGTCGACTTGGCTGAGTAATGGAAATAAAACATCAGCTGATAGCAAACAAAGGTTACCAAGGAAACCGTAAACACGTATTTTTGTTTCCCGAAAATGAGCTTACCGTTGAGCTCGTCAGGCGCGTTTTTTTAAGGCTTCATTTGAGTTCAACGATCAATTTCGATAAGAATTACTCCACCGCTAAGAAATTTTCTTATAGACAAACGATCGAAACTACCTGCGCATTACGTTAAAAGCATAAAATACAGTTTTCACAGCTTTATTTATTTTAAAAATGGACCCCCCCCCCCCCAAAAAAAGCCTACACATCGATGAGCTGGTGCGCCATTTAAACGCATTAGCACTGGTATACTAGTATTCAGAGGCAAGTCGAAATCAAAAAGCGCTGCCTATCGGCTGAGTTCTTAAAATAACATAGAGGCGGAGATTTTCAAACACCGCAAACAAGATAGGTATGTGATTGCGGACTTACACCATCGATATGCTCTTGTAACACATAGGTACTCGTGACCAAAAAAAAAGAACTTTGAAAATAAAAGTTAGTATATCGACGGTGCAAGTCCGCAACCACGCATTTTGGTTTTCGACGTCGCAGACTTCCTGTCATACTTTATTTTTTAAATGGAAAACTACTAAACGGCAATTCTTTATGAAACTGCCGTGATTTTTCCCCTCTGAACGAGGGAAATTCTGCGAAAACTTTAAGGCATTATGTCGGTTCATTCTCTTGTAATAAAATAAAATAGGAGTGAAGATTTTCTAACACTGCAAATGAGATACGTGGTTGCGGATTTACACCATTGATAAGTTCTATTCTCCATATTAACACAACGTTAGGGTTAGGTACTTGTATACTGTATGTATACAAAACGATGTCCAAGGATAACACACATTATATTTTCCTTTAAAACATATTTTTTTTTTAATCAATTAAAATGAGAATTATTCATACAGAGTGTGCAAACATTTCAAAATCATGAGTTAAAAAACGCTGACTCCGCAAGATTAAATATTAGAGCCTAACACTAAGCGGAGCGGCGACGCACTGGCGCGGCGCCTACAAACCTAACAGGGATACTTCACGCATTGCGCAATGCGTGAAGTATCCCTGTTAGGTTTGTAGGCGCGCTCTCTGCCCGCCCGCCGCGCCGCAGCGTGCCACGGCGCGGCGCCTGAAGCAACTATTTCACACCAGAGGTATTGCACAGTATCATTAGAAATTGAAGGCGCTCCAACATATTAAGAATGGCAGGCAGCAGGCATCCTTCAAAAATACGGAACATTCCTCGCAAAATAAATCAAGATAATACGGCACAAAAAGAGAGCGGTTTTTTTCTAAAATCAAAAGGAAACCTGCTAGCTCTCGATTCAAACAAAAATCTGATTGAATCAAGAGTATTTTTTACCGTCAAACTTTTAAAAAGCCTTGACTCTAGATTTGAGGGACTTTTAATTTTTAGGAAATATTTAATCCATCAAAATCGCAGTCTGAAAATCACTAAAAAACTAAAATATTTTATGAAAAATTCGTAATTGTCCTGGAGTAAATTAATCAATTTTTTAATAATAAAACTTCGCAAATTTGCAATGCAGTTGAGCCCCCATGGCTTTCAGCCCTTCAACTCTACTTTCCAGTTCCTATGAGGAACAAGTCGACCTCATTCTCTTTTCCGATAATCCTATTTCGAAATCAACGTAATCTTGCGATATTCCCGAGGGCGATTTTTTCGAGACCGCAGGCTCTTCAGTTTCACTCGGTTGTTTTGTTTCCAAGTTTCATTACGCGCATTGTGCTGGTGCATGTGTGCGCATTTCATTGTGTCCTGCGCGTCATTGACCGCAGAGAAAGTGCATTCGCATGTCAAAATTGGATCAAGGTACACCAACCTGTTGCTCGAAAACGAAACTGACTCGCGAAAACATTGGCACAACCGCACACGCAATCGAGACTTGTGATGACTATCGGTTCGCAGCCAAAATACCGATGCCGATATTTTGTGTCTGCTTGGAATCCTAAACAGTTTCCGCGGTGGGAGAGGATCTAAGGTGCATCTGCCACGGCAACTGCACTATTTTAAAACAACCGTAAGTGTCGGGTTCTCAAGATAGAGCCGCTTGACTGTACTGCCGTGCTAAGGAAGAATGCCGTATGAGCTATCAGACGCTGACATATTTACTTCAATAAAACATAATTTATTAGGAAAATTATTAACATTTTTCTTCAATTTTTTCAGACAATTTTGTCCGCAATTTTATCCAAAACGTCTCAAAATTTCAAGGAAAAATACGCATAATTTTCTTTAAAAATACATGTTTTATCCAGGGCAATTTGGCAACTCTCGAATGTTCATACGGCGCTCTTCCTTAGCACGGCAGTGTAGAAATGACAATGACCGACGACGGTGTCCTTCAAAGTGCTGATCTCCTACACAGCCTACACACATGTGAGCTTTATCCCGAAAACATCAAATACATTTGCACTCACGTCACATACCTACATAGGTTCACACCTCGGCGTTTAACAACCCACAAGTCCCACCTTTTCACGAGAGGAAGAAATGGATCCGGTTCAACAGAAACGTAACGTGGCAGTGGCGATTCTAGAAATATGGCAACACTGTTTTTCGTCCATTTACAAGTATGTGAAACAATCGATTCTTGGTGAGGCAGTTTGACTTAATTAATATCGATATTTTTAATGGATTTCAATCGAGTGAGAAATTGAGAATAGTGTTGCCAGCTTGCAAAATCGCCACTGCACCGAGGCGCATCAAGTTTGAACGAAGAGTTTGCAAGTTTGAAAGAAGGAAAAGAGGTCTGACGTTTTAATTCTCAGAAAACTCGATGTAAATGACTAAATTTAATGACTATTAAGTATCTCAAAACGGGCGTAAGATAGGGCTGCCAAATTTTCTACACACATGGAACTGTTATTGGAGATTTCCAAAAACGCCACTAATTCGATTTTTCTAATGAAGTGAGTTGGGTTCCTTTTGACTCTGGGGTGCAGATTGATAGGTATCCTATCCAACATGCATGCACTTTGCATACATATTTGTATAAGGAACTGTGCTACAAAATTAGTCTCCATCATTAAGGCAATTTTAAAAAAAAATTACCACGGTAGACAAATTACTGCATAGAGAGTGGTTACGTGATAACGGCTGGGGTCAGGTCGCCACTCAATTTTTTACTTGTTTTTATGTGTTTTTGCATTTGAAAATGAGCTGGTAACAGCTCGGAACGTCCTGCCTTTTAGTGTTTATTAATTTTCTAGCCTTGTTTACCCATATTTTAATTATATCTCCTCTTTATTCGTATATTCGGGCTATGTTTTTGTGCTTTATCCTTTATCATTACTGCATAGTAGATACTTTTTCGAAGAGGATTTTCATGATAGACGGAGTTTACTAGCCGCGTAAACAAAGAGGCTGATCACGCCGTTGGAAATTTGTTACTTTTCCTCTTTTTCCCGTTTGTTTTCTGGCTTCAGCGGCATGAGATTACAAGGTTTGAAAATATGCAACTCGAGATGCAAGAAGCAAGAGTGCTCCTGCATAACAAATCTATAGCAGATGCACCGACGAACCGTTAGCTATCTTTATGGCTTCACTCTGTGCTCCTGTGAAAGTAATTTACAGCGCTTTTATCTGTGCTTTGAACTCATCTTCAAAGTTTTAGGTCCCAGATGGAGGCCTGCCGCCAGCTATCAGGTCTCATATAACTGGCAGTTTTGGTCTCAAAATGACAAGTAATGGCCAACAGCTGAACAACTCATGTCGCAAATCAAGGCTACCTGATTATCGTAAATGAGATTAATTAAGTGTATAAGGAACCATATCGACGGTGTAATTCGGCAATCACATAACTCGTTTGCGGTGTCTGAAAATCTTCGCCTCTATAATAGTTTTTTAAAGGAGAACAAATTGACATCGTTTCTTGAAGTTTTTGCAGAATTTTCTTCGCATAGAGAAGAAAAATCACGGTAGTTTTAAAGAATTGCCGTTGAGTAGTTTTCCGTTTAAAAAATAAAGTAGGATAGGGAGTCTGCGACGTCGCAAACCGAGTTATGTGATTGCCGACTATATCCTCACCTATATTATGATGGAAAGTTAAAATACCGAATTTTAACGGCTCGACTATGATTCAATGGAGTATCAGGTAGAAATAGTTATTAAGCTACCTGAATTTGACAAGTTTCATCAATCCTCTCAAATAAACAGATGGTTGTAATTCAGAGTTAAACCCCGTTTCCCATGTGTATTGGGACAAATTTTACAAGACACTTTCCAAGCTGACGAAGGTGAAAATTGATTTGATTTGCATGACCCAATTTCCACTTCTTGGATCCGACGAAATGCGTTTCTGTCTGTTTTCGTCGGCTTAAAGTTTCTCAAGAGCAGAGTGAACCACTTTTATAGTTGGTCGCATACCGCTTTTTAGTCATACATACGATTAACAATTAAGGACAAGAGAGGACTAAAAGAAACAAGAAAGGAGAAAATCCTACATTTTTTTAGTAGAATCGATAATATTCAGGATTTTTAAATGTTCAAAAGTCGTGAATTAACCTGTGCAGAGCTACTAATGAAGACTTGCAATTAAGAAACATTTAGAGGTAGGTATTTTTTTGGGAGGAGAAATGATAGGGAAAGAGGGACAATATAGCA